TATATATATATATATTTCCACCTTCAAATAAATCCATTGGTGTTAGTTTGTGGTCCTAAATATATGTCTAAATCCGATCACTCCTAGTATACTTTTAACCGGATTCGATTTGTTTCAATATGAATTTTTTAATGAATCCAATATGAAAAATAAAATTTGAACGGGTTTTTTTTAAAATAAATGTTTTAAAAAGAATCAGAATTTAATAAGAAGATGAATGAATATAGTTTTTCAAGATCTAAAAAAAATTGTGAAATAGAAAATAATGGGACCGAAATGTTAAATATCCACTTTAGATGTAGTATGAAAGATATCGTGATTAGGTTATTGGCGTTTGAATATGTGGTTTTAATGTCATGTTTTTTTTTGGTTGTTAAAAGCAATTTGATTATCTGACTAATTGTAATTGGTTACCTACTAAACACATATGCTAATGAGTTTGCTTCTCTTAGTCATTCAAGTTGAAGAAATCTATTTCCCTTATAATATTGCCTTCTTGGCTTTATTTATAATTTCACTTGTACAACAATCCGCGACTGTTACGAATTGTCGAAACTATCCTCACCCAACAATACAGAACCTTCCAGCGTATTTTGTCCTTACTCGCACTGCACGTATAACGAGACACTTATCAGCAGGTCACCTATCCTGAAATTGCTCCAGAATCAGCATGCTTAATTTTGGAGTTCTGTCGGAATAATCAACCAAAAAGGTAGGTGTACCCTTGTTGCTATAAGTAGTCCAACTAATTCTTTTATATTATCTCAGACCACATAGTCCAATTTCTATATAACCTCGGATCTCTCTCATTCGGGTATGTTCGATTCATTCTTCTATTTGTTTTTTCTTAGTAGTACTCGGGGAGCCGCTATTTGAACGTGTCATCACACTAACGAACATTTCTAACCCTCATCATAGTTCGGGATATTATAACTCGTGTCTTCTAGATTCCAATTCCAGTATGAAATGAATAAAATTGAATAATATAATCTAACAAATGAAACTAATAAATTTGAATAATACATAATCTGTTCTAACCGAACCGGATTAAAAAAATTGATTTTAAAATTAAATTCCATATAAATTAAATTGATAATATAGTTTTTTTTTCAAAATTATAAATATCAAAGCAGAAAAATAATGGAATCAATATCAAAAGAAAAAACAAAACATGCACCTATAAAAGATTACATGCGATTTTCGTTAAGACAAAAACCTTGTGGCTTCTATAAAATGAAGAAAAAAAAAACAGTGTGTGCTTGATACATATGTTTCTTGAATTTGACATAATCTCAGGTACTATTTTCTCTGACTTTCTAATATATATTTAGTATTTTGTTTTGATAAAGTATATATTTAGTATTTTCTGTGTCGACAGTCCAAAATTTATTGTACAATTACCAAAAAAAAATTATTGTCACCAGATCAGATCGGACCGGCCGGAACTCCAATCGGCTGAGAATTTTGGGTTCGGGTTTGAACCGACCCGTTCATTTCCTTTGTAAATTTAAGATTTTTTTGAAAAAAAAATTTCTCCTTTTGAACCGGTTTGAATCGGGTCCAAAATCCAATTTGAACTCGATCCAAAATTTCAATTTTTTTGGACCAAAAAATTTAGATCTGAAATCCGATATTTTCGGATAAATTCAGGCCGAACTTGGACTTCAAACCTAAATTGACCTCTCTACCCTTATCATAACAAATATGATATATATATATCATTATGAGTATAGATAAATTGATTTGTGTATGTATATATATATATAATAATGAAATGCTTTAGGGATATGCAATAGTGTCTTAATCATGTTACTGCAACACACTAGACTCAAGTCACATCACCTGCATGTATTGAAATCATTAGCCTTTTTGAATTCAACTCCTCCTCCCCCTCACCAAAATATTCAAAAATCTTACTTTCTACCTTTCATCAAAAGTTTTTTTTTTCTTTAAAAAAAAAAAAGAAGACCAACGCCGCTAATTAATACTAAATCGTCATTAATAACCCTAATTATGAAATGTTACAAAGCTGAAATTTGTGAGGGCAGTGCATGTGTTGGTCAGTGGGCCTGGCCCACTTATTTATATTTTCTTAACCAAAAAGCTGAGGGTACCAAACACGCCCTTATATGACGTCACTCCGTTTTATTGAATTCGATTAGTTCGGTTTTGGTTTATTTTGATTTCGAAACATTTTTTATTTATAAAATTACTCATTTTTTAAATAAATTTTCAGTTTTTTTAAGTGTCAGATTCAGTTTTAAAAAATTAATCAATCTGATTTTTTATTTTAATCATATTCCATTGATTCAGATTACTAACGAAATTATTCGTCCCTATAAACTCCCTGTTTCTACAGTGCACTCACTCCGTTCGCATCATTAGCACCGGCGGGTGCTGCCGTCACTAACCTGCGCACCTTCGGTTCACTTTAGCTTGTCCGTCAGACGCCACAACACGTGTCGACTTTTGAGATGTCCACGTCACCGTTTCCAGTCTCGTACCTTCGTCCCTACTTTTCCCATTTCTAGGTTTCTTAGATTTCACTCCATCACTTTGTTACCGTCTCTCTACTTCTTCCGTGTTGAGTGAGTTCCATTTGTACGGATCGATCGGAGTTTGGAGTGTTCTCGACTGTCCGATCAACCGGTGATGGGGTCGATAATCGATCCTGGTGAGTTGACTGAGTTGACTCCTCCTAGCTTCGACGAGTTCCAGCGGCAGACGTCGCTGATGACGAGCTGCACTCTTATGTGGAAGGAGCTCTCCGACCACTTCACTTCTCTGGAACAGAATCTGATGAAGAGGTCGGACGCTTTGAAGCAGATGATCGAGACCCTCGACAACCAGACTCAGGCCTCGCTCGAGTCGCTCAAGCGTCGCGAGGTCACGATCGACGACAGCGTCGAGATCGCCATGGGAAAAGTCAAGGAGAACGCAAAGGCTGCTCTGGTGTCACTCCAGAAAGCTGGAGATGGCGGTTCAGGCGCCGACGATGGAGGTGAAGTCGACGATGGCGATGGTCTACTCGCGTTGCTGAAAAGTTTCTGCCTGAAGATGGACGTGAGAGGATTCTGGAATTTCGTTACGGCGCGAAAGAAGGAGCTAGAAAATCTCCGGGCACTGATACCGATGGCGCTGGTGGAGTGCGTGGATCCGTCGAAGTTCGTGCTCGAAACGATTTCCGAAGTGTTTCCGGTGGACAAGAGGGCTGGAAAGAGCGGTGGAGATGGAGCAGGAGAGAAAGCGACCAACGATTTGGGATGGGCTTGTGTGGTGATCCTCGAGAGCTTGATACCGGTAATGGTGGACCCTGTGATCGGGAAATCGCGGCTGCTGGTGACACCGAGCGTCAAGGAGAAGGCTAAGGAGATTGCGGAGACATGGAAGGCGAGCTTGGAAGAGAGAGGAGGGATCGAAAACGTGAAGACCCCTGATGTGCACACGTTTCTGCAGCATTTAGTGACCTTTGGAATCGTTAAGAAGGAAGATCTTACTCTGTACAGGAAGCTTGTGGTTGGATCGGCATGGCGCAAGCAGATGCCTAAGCTCGCTGTTTCAATAGGGTTGGGTGATCAAATGCCTGGTAAGCTTATCGCTTCAGCTCGACCCTTCTTGTTGGTTCTGCTTCCCATAGTTTAGAGGAGCACTTGTAAGGTTTCTCCGCGCTCCACAGTATGTTTCAGCTCACTTGTCTTCGAATTGGCTCATTGGTGAAGTACGCATTAGTTTTAGGTCATCTGAAGTACTTCGTAGACTTATGAAATTCAATCCTTTTTGTCTAGTTCCTGTTTCATATTTATTGTGGGGATTGATGGTTCGAGTCATTATATGCTTATGCAGACATGATTGAAGAATTAATCAGCAGGGGTCAGCAACTTGATGCTGTTCATTTTACTTACGAAGTTGGCCTTTCGGACAAGTTCCCTCTAGTTTCTTTGCTCAAAGCTTATCTTAGGGATGCTAAGAAGGCAGCAGCATCAATCGTGGAGGATCCCAGCAACCCTGGCCGATCTGTGGTATATGCTTCTCCTTCCTGTCATAAAAACTGCATCACATTTCAATATCTCATTCCATGCTTTTATAGTAGTGTATATTTCAGTTCTAAATTTTAGAAATCTCAGATCTTTTACATCGTTCGGTGTCTTGGTTTTATGTTTGTCATTGTTATGCACCACCAGGCTTATTGCAAAGCTGATAGCAACCATGAATTTAATGATGTACAGAGATTATTCAATGGCAAATATGTGCATGACCCTTTGGAACCTTTCTAATACACTATTATTTTCCCCCAGCATCTCGCTGTGAGGAAAGAGCAATCAGCCATCAGGGCGGTCTTAAAGTGCATAGAAGAGTACAAACTCGAGGAGAAGTTCCCGCCGGAGAATCTCAAGAAGCGGTTGGATCAGCTTGAGAAGGCCAAAACCGAGAAGAGAAAACCAGCATCCGTTCCAGCCAACAAGAGAACCCGAGCGAGCTACAATGGCCCGATGCCACCAGCCAAGGCAGGGCGTATCACAAATGCATATGTCTCCTCCTTCCCAGCCCCGCCCACATTCATCAGGTCCCTGACCCATTCCCCTCAGTACCCGACACCACCATACACTTCTCATATGAGCCCTCCATATCAATACTCCCCCGAAGCCGGTCACATGGCGTACGCAGGTTCTCCTATCAGTTTTCCGGCGACATATGGTGGCTACTGCAATGTCCCAAATCCTCCTCCCGCATATCACCTCCACCACCAGCAGGCTTACTACTGAACTGAGTAGACAGTGACCAAAACTGGAAGATGGTAACCACTGATACAGCAACAAGTTACAACTCTCTCTCTCTCTGATGTCTCCTCCTTGGATCTGCTTCATGTCTCTAGTGATTGTTGTCTTTATTCTTCTACGAAATCGCAGCTAAATCTGTTTAATCTGGGTAGTACGTCTCACTTGTGTTTAATTATATAAATATTTGTATAGAGAGAACTTCTTATCTACACTTCTTGCATCGCATGACAGTTAGAAGCTGTACTTGTCTCAGTACTTTAGGTTCCTTAGTCAATGCGACATGTCTATCTACTCTTCTTCTCGAGGGAATAATCAAGTTCAGTCTATGTTATCTAGGTTTAGAAAATTTGAGTCCGACAAAAAAAAAGGAGCTAAAAGAGGCAGGTCATTATGAGCCTGAGTTCATTGTAAGTTGGGTTAGCGATTTGGGCCGAGTCATGATTTTTTTGGTCCGAATAAAAGCGGGTTTAACGAGTTGGGTTGAAAATGAGTTGGATTCAGAACAAGATGGTTCAATCTGGTCCCAACCGACCCGTTTACATCTGCAGATGATCACATGACTGTAGCTCTGACCCGTTCCATTTGAAAAGGACATAAAACTTGATCTGAGTTCGACCAGAAATGTGGAGACTTCCTATTGTTTGGGAGAACTCTGGTTCAGAGAGCTTTGGAGGAAGATTTACATGACATGATACATGGAAGAGAAATCTGGAGGGCAAACTTCAGATTGTGCTTCACGCAAAAGGACTAAAATCTGACAGCAAGACAAGTGATAAAAGACTACTTCTTTTTCTTCTTCTTCCCCGTATGTCTTTGCTCTTCTGGGTTTGTTCATTAGCTTGTTTGTTAATGGAAGTTAGAGAGATTGGCTACAACTTATCAGCTGCTGATTTCGAAAAATATATTCTTTGGATCTTCTGGTTTAAGCCTCACGAAAATCAGTTGTTTTCCCGCCGTTGCATTAACCGAAACCCATCTCACATTCAAACTCCATAATCAAGACTCTACTTTTACATCGTTTTAAACTCCATAGTTAGTCTGAATCCGACAAAAACGACTTAATCAAGCTCTCTCAGACCATCAGATAAGAACCTATACAACTAAACACTTATCACCTCAAAAAAAAAAAAAAAAAGATCCCTCTTCTTCTCAGTCGTTGGCTGTGGCAAGCTGCAGAGACAACAGCTCGTCCTCGGGGATGGTCTTTATACGACAGTCCGATGTCGGGTAGGACACGCAGAGGAGCGTGTAGCCGCGCGCCACGACGTCTTCGCTGAGCATACCTTCGCTCTGGTCAACCGTGCCGTTGACGAGCTTCGCCGGACAAGTCATGCAGACGCCGAGCTTGCAGTCGTGAGGGACGTCAAGGCCCGAGTCAAGGGCCTTCGAAAGGATCGTCTCCTCCGCTTCAACCTCCAGCTCCGTCGTAGCGCCGTTGGGCTCCACCACCACCTTGTACGACCGAGCCACGATCCCTCCGCTTAGGGATTCCCGGTGACTGGTACTCAGAACCGGGATTTGCAGAGGGAAATAAATGGGTTTTGGATCGCATGGCTTTGGGCGAGAGATTGTTGGAGCTCGAAGGAAATGGAGAGTCGCCGCCATGGGAAAGAGAAGGAGAGCTTGGGGTTTTTTACTGAGATGAATCATTTGGCTCGCAACTATTTCACGTCGTAAACCATTAAAAAAAAATAACACATTAATTTTTTTTTGAAAAGACGAAATTACCCTTAATGAATACACGATATTTATCCGTTCGAAAACAACTTCGTTATTACGACTTCATAATTAATTCTAAATATAGTTACAATTGATTCTAAAAAGGTAGCAAAAAAATCATCTGTCTTATGTTTTATTTTAGTGGTATATCAATTATATGTTAGTCGTAATAAGGTCGCAAAAAATAAAAAGAAAATGGTATTGCGGACTTTTTCAACCAAAAAGTGGGTTAAAATTGAAAAAAAAATTTGTTTTTTTCGGTGGTGTACGCTGAAATAGTGCGAAAGTGGATCATTTGAGTAAAAAACCCGAGAACGAGATAGGGATAAGTACCGTACAGTTGTGGGGAAAAATAAACCGGATCGAACCGGACTGGTCCTGGGCCGTACGGACTTTGCTAGACCGTTCAGATGTAAACCAGAAGCAAAATTTTCCAAGTTGAGTTTTTGGTTGAATTAATTTGTGGCGAAAAGGGTTATAATTATAGCTTAACTGGAAATAAAAGTCTATAATAAGGATTCTTTTTTTATAATCCGAAAGTCACGTATGATAGAAAGTTACTATTTTTACAATGTGTAATAGAGAATATATTAAAGGTTCAAACTTTTTTTTAAAAAGCTTCGAAATTAAATGAGTATTTGTCAAACCATGGCATCAATCTATGTTTTTTTTTATAAAGTAGCATCAAACTTATGTTATGAGCCTTTTTTTGTCACACAAAGCTGTAATAACCTTTTAGAAACTCAGATTTGTATTTTTTTTTTGCTTTTTTTCCCTCTTGCAGAAAGAATACATGAAAGTTTGTGTAATTTTGATTATTTTTCTAAACCCATGTGTGTAATTTTCGGGAATGAATTACGAAAATTGGTGAAAAAATAAAGATTTTTCAAAGTTGGTATGTCGGACAAAAATAATCTTATCTTTGATATCTCACAATATCTCCGACGTTTAGTTAAATTTCGTGCATTTTCCAACTTTCAAGGCGCTCGTCTCGCGAAGGTTCCATCGTCTTCTTCTCCGCGTAATATTTCAGTCCTCTGTTTGATCTGCTTTCTTCGCCGTTAAATCATTGTTTTTCAGATCGATGGTATTTTTAGAGTTACACCTTTGACGCCGAATCAATTTACGGCGTCTGCGTGTTCGTTAATCGGATCAACGTTCATGAATCAGAGCCCTTGGGTGTTTTTTTTTATCTGGGTATCTGTGATTCTTGTCGGGTTTTTGTAAAGTTTAATTCTTTCTAAACACTTGTATTCATACAAAAAAATGTCTTTTATGGCTGTCCTAGAAAACTTTACATGAAAGCGTGTAGAAGCATTATTTGGTTATGTAATCTGTCTGGATACTAGATTGGTTAAGGAGATGAAAGTGTTTTGATGGGATATTTGACGATGCAATTTTTCTTTGAACGTGTTGTCTTTGATAATTTAAGCAGTGAGCTTGTTCAAACATGGCGTCGGGGAATCCTGGGATTGCGAAAGATGTAACTGAAGTAAGCTGCGGCAATTTGTTTAGTTCTGTCTTGTTTGTTTACAAACATTGAATCTAGTTCCATGGCTGTTTTCTTTTTTAAAATTTTGTTTTCATTTACTTTTCTTTGTGTTTTTCTTTCTGGCAGTTAATCGGGAATACTCCATTGGTGTATCTGAACAATGTTGTTGAAGGTTGTGTTGGTCGTGTTGCTGCTAAGCTCGAGTCCATGGAACCATGCTCTAGCGTCAAAGACAGGTTTCTGCTTGACATTTTCTCGATCCAGATCCACTCTTGTTCGAGTTTCTTTTTGTGAAACATAGTATTTGGTCCTTTGTTGCAGGATTGGCTATAGTATGATTGCTGATGCAGAAGCCAAGCGTCTAATCAAACCAGGGGAGGTCAGATTGATTGAAAATATTGGATTCTTTGTTTCGAGAAAATCATTTGCTCGGTTTCTTTTCCGGGATTCTGATTTTTTTGTTTTTCTAATGCTTTTAATAGAGTGTTTTGATCGAGCCAACTAGTGGCAATACTGGTGTTGGGTTAGCGTTTATGGCTGCAGCCAAAGGCTACAAGCTCATTATCACAATGCCAGCATCTATGAGTATAGAGAGAAGAATCATTCTCCTAGCTTTTGGAGCAGAGTTGGTTCTTACAGACCCGGCTAAAGGCATGAAAGGAGCCGTTGCAAAGGCAGAGGAGATATTGGAAAAAACTCCCCATGGTTACATCCTCCAACAGTTTGAGAACCCTGCCAACCCTAAGGTATATCTCTATTGGTGTTCTGATGGATGTAAGTTGCAGGTTTAAACTTTAAGTTGTGTATTTCTTCACCATCTAATGCAGATCCACTACAAGACTACCGGACCTGAGATATGGAAAGGTTCCAATGGAAAAGTTGATGGCTTTGTTTCTGGGATCGGTACTGGTGGTACCATAACTGGTGCTGGGAAGTATCTTAAGGAGCAGAACCCGAATATAAAGGTGAAGTTGGTTTATTATGCACAATTAGGTTCCTATTATTTCCAGCATTGTCAGATTTGCTCGAGTGGGCTTGTTTCCATGTGCACGAATGTCCTTTTGTGGGTCAGTTTGATGGTTTTCTCATTTGTTTTCTCTTTGTCTCAGTTGTATGGTGTGGAGCCAGTCGAAAGCCCTATTCTTTCTGGTGGGAAGCCAGGTGAGCATTGTTCCCCCCCTCTGAACGTATATTACTATTGTCATGTTCTCGACTCCCGGGGCCAGTATTTTCAATGTCTACGAGTCTTTGGTGATGAAATCATGTTGAATGTTCATTGCTTCTACGCTCTTGTTTTCCATTTTAGGGGAAAACGATTGGAATTGCTTCTATGGCCTTGAGCTGGTTTTAGTATCTTTTTAACAAAAAAACTCTAGAAATACTCCTCTTCTGATCAGTGTCGCGTGTTTGAAAAGACGAGTTTTTTTTTGTCTTGGTTCTACCGTGATTCTAAAGGTTTTAACATTTCTGGCTAACATGTTGTGTTGGACAAATGTGAAGGACCCCACAAAATTCAGGGGATAGGTGCCGGTTTCATCCCGGGCATTTTGGATGTTGATCTTATCGATGAAGTTGTTCAGGTTGAGAGACTTGTCTCCAACTTTACCTCTTTGGCTCCAAACATACTGCATTGTGGATACTATCTTCCTTTTGCTTGTTTCTTCAGGTATCGAGTGAAGAGGCCATTGAAATGGCAAGGCTTCTTGCTGTAAAAGAAGGTCTTCTGGTAAGTGCTGCTTCACTAGAAGGTCTTCTTGTGCTGGGAATTGTACGTTATATCGATGTTCACTGTGTTTCTTATGCTTCCACTTAGTGTTTAACAATGGAAGGCGATACATTGTAGGTGGGAATATCATCCGGTGCAGCAGCTGTTGCTGCAATTAGACTTGCAAAGAGGCCGGAAAACGAAGGAAAGCTTATTGTGGTTAGTCCTCTTCGCTCTGTTTTTTTTTCTTTCCATTAAAACTTCTATTAAGCTTAGTCCAAACCCTTGTTTCCCGAGCATCTAGCCGATGTTTTTCTACATTTCTTGTCCAAATTTAAGACGGTACATGAGCAGAAGTAGACCTGGGGCAAACCTTTTTTGATGATGCAACTGATATGTAAGAACTCAAATGAAACATTGCAGGCTCTGTTCCCGAGCTTCGGGGAAAGGTATTTATCGACGGTACTGTTTGATGCGGTGAGGAAAGAGGCGGAAGCTATGACCTTCGAGCCCTGATTTTGTCGGTGCTGATGAAGCAAGGAGCCTGGATACTCAAGAGGCACCATTCTTGTACCAGTAATAAAAAGATCTTCAGGTTAAGACAAGAGAGAGACAGATATATTGTGAAACCCTTGTTAACTTTCATTACCTCCTGCAATGGAAGAAGAAGTTTGCTCATTTGGTATCTTTGGTTTTCATGACAATAAACTTAGCTTGTTCTTACTGTAATACATTACCAAACTTCTGAGTTTGATTTTGCTTCATTCTCTTGTGAATCAATTGTGACACAAAAAAAAAAACATTGATTCAGAAAAAAAAATGCAAAAATAAACTTAACAGGTAGGGATGGATACTTGGTATTTCGGTTCAGTTACATATACTTTTTTTTTCTAAATTTTCAATTGAAAAAAAATATATCTACTCATCTAATATGGTTCTGAGTTGTGTTCTTATTAAAAAAAATTCATTTTCGTTTAATTTTGTAAGTTTTTAAATGTTAATTAATTTAATTTAGTAAAATTACATATGATTCGCCTTCATGTAATATACCTTCCATATTATAACATGAGCCGCTGTAATCTGCCTAAAGTATTTCACTTATCAGATCCTGAACGGGAAAAAATCGGTCGAAAGTTGTACAAGAATTCCAAAAATAATTGTATATAATATATAAAAATCGAGGGGAATCGCTAGACGAAGCAAAGGAGTAAACTTTTTGCCAGCGTCTCTTGAGAATTTCCCACCAGGCCACGGAGAATCTGCAGGTGCTTCTTCCGTTCTTCGTCTTTCTGTCTATTCTAATCGATTTTCTTCTTCTTTTTCTACTGTTTTGTTGCTTCGAATTTCATTTCTAGATTCGGCTCTGTTAAGAGCGATGTTTGGATTTGTGGATTTAGGGTTTTGATTTTCGATCAATGGCGTGGTTTGCATCCTGGGCTACAAGCGATTCGCCTGCGTTTTGCTGATACCTCTAGCGTCAGATTCATAATTTCTTCATGATATAGGCTCTGTAATGGTTTTAGGCTCTAGGGTTTTAGAGTTTGGGGTTTCGTCTGTGAGCTTGAGATGAATAATGCATGTCAAATTATTCAAACTGAAAGTTATCTGTTCGTGGCTAGTTTGGTGGATGTAGATAGAGGTATAAAGGTTAAGACTTTACGGGAAATTCGGTGTGCATTTGGGGAAAATATTAAAGGGCTGTCTCATCTTTCACTTATTTTGGCATGAGAAACCAAGTTGAAAAGGCTGGATGGATCACTCCTGCGTTATTGAACTCACATCCATTGCCTTTGTAGATGATGCAAGACTTTGTACATCGAACGTCTGTTTGCTTGAATCAATGTGTTCGGTCGTCTATTCGATGGTGTTTGGTTCATCGGATGTCTGATTCAACACTGTCAAGGACTTGTAATTGTTGTCATGCCCTTAAAAGTTTGCATTAAAATCTTAGTCTTACACCAAGAAAATGCTTGTTCTTTGCATTGTTTGCGGTTGGATCTTGAAGAGGGATGTTTGCTTGTTGTTTGATCATGTTCAGTGGTACTGATTAATGCTGCTGAATAGTATTCAACTATGTGATAAATCTGCAGTTCTAAGACTTGGATGGATTTCCTTGCAGGACAGTCAGTCACAATGGCCAGCAAATCCGCAAGTGATTACAGAGAACCCCCGAATGAGCAAGCGGTTGCAAACATCTACGCAGCCATGAGATCGGAACTGAGCCAGATCTATTCCAACATAACCGAGCTCGAAATGCAAGTGAGCGAACATACATTGGTCATCAATGCCATTCAGCCGCTCGACCCTTCGAGAAAATGCTTCCGGATGATTGGAGGGGTTCTCGTCCAGAGAACCATCAAAGAGGTCCTTCCGGCTGTACATGGAAACAAGGAAGGGCTTGAAGAGGTTATCAAGAAGCTATACGAGACACTGGAGAAGAAGAAGAAGGATCTTTCTGAGTTCGAGGCCAAGTATAAGATCAGGATAAGGAAACACGATGACTCCAAGGAAGAAGAAGGTAACAAGAAGGAAGGTAACGCTCAAGGAGTTCTTGTTGGACCAGCCAGTTCAAGCCAGTGATTCAAGGTTTTGTCTGTCGTATCTTATTCTGGCTCTTTGTCAAAGCCTTTTGATTGTTCAGAACCAGTAGAAATCTGGGAATCAGCTTTTGTGTTGGAAAATCTCATTGCATTATCATTAAATTGTTGAATATATCAGAGAAATTTGTACAAGTGCCCGGAAGGAAAAGGTAAACCTTTCGTGTGCTTTCAGCTGAAGAAGTCTTGAACACCTTTTCCGGCGAAAACACGGTCGGAGAGTTCAGCCAAGATGAAATTGACTGTGAGCAAGACGACACTGGAGCCGGCGATAACTCCGAGCACGACTCCGGTCGTTCCGAGAACCTTCTGAAACGCCGGCCATTCGATCTCCCTCACCTCCTCCGCCACCCCGCTCAGAAGCTCACTCTTCCCTCTCTCCTCCTCCGCCGCCGCCGATTTCCTCTGCTCCATCGCCGCTTTTATCTCCGCTCCGATCAAGCTCTGCTCCTCCTCCATATTTCCGGCGCCTTCCGCCGCCGGAGAATCAGACTCTGCCTCCGATTCCGTCGTATCTCGGCTCTGTTCGATGGCTTTGGCCACCAGATGCGGCGCTTTCCTCAGCATCCTCGTCGCGGCAGCGATTGTGGAGTATCGGATCTCGGGATGATTCGAAGAGAAGCGACGACTTGTTGTGGTCGGAGATCTCAACATGCAAGTCTTCCTCCGGTGGCTCGGGATTGCTCCGGTCACCGCCGGCGAGAGGTGTACGGACAGTGGCATTCTTTTGACGCAACGGGAAGTAACAGCCAAATTTTTTTTGTTTAATTTTAAAATTTTTTTATGTATGGGGATAATTCCCTGAGGTGAGTAGCGATCGGCTGCAGTCGCGAGTATATTTGGTTTGCTATGAATTTGGGCCTTCCATCTTTTCTTTTCTTTTTTGGTTAATGGGCCTTCCATCTTTATAAATAAAGGTAGAGTTTATAGGCCCAAAGTTTTTGTGTTCTTAAGCAGCTGGATCCAATCATATTGAAATATTTTATAATCCCATGTATTCAAATAAACATATTGCCACTTTTGCGTGGTAGCAAATATGATCGGAAAGATGGGCATTTTACACAGCCAACAAAAAAAAAAATCATAAAAGCTTGCACTACATATCTACAACCAAACACACCTTAACAACAAGCCTCGGACAAAAACTAAAACCAAAAAACATGGAAAACAGACTTAGGACCAAGGGGAGAGCCACCGGTCGGATCAGATCACGTGTGTTCGTCCCTCTCGTTGAGCCTAGCCGCGGCCGTGATGGAAGCAGCCACCCCGCCTGGATGAGTAGACAAGTTCGGGCTGTTCCTCAGCTCCGCACTCACCACCCCCTCCGCGTCTTCCCTCGTCGCCTCCTTATCCACCGGTAACTTCCACGTCGCTCCCTATACCAAAACCGATACTGTCACTTCTTTGTTCCTTAAAAAAACTTCTTAGTTGTGGGGGACTCACCGTGAGAACTTCTCCAAGCTTGATCTTGTCCTCGTCCCGAGCCACCGTGAGGTTATGGGTGGCGGCTGATTGGGCAGTGGCGGCCAGGCCACCGTGAACAATGGTATTGCTTCCGGTGGCTCTGATTTTATAATTTATGTTATTTAGAATTTTTATAAAAATTTAGATCCATTGCAGAAATTTAGAATCTATAATTACCTCTAAAACATTAAATCCGGTTAATAAATAGGTGGGCTCAAATCAATTAGCCTGGGGGCTTAAGTATTAAATATAGTAGGGTTCGTATTATGGGCCTTGAGAAAACAGGCTCTAGTTTTTCCCCTCCCAAAGGACCCGACCCGATTCATAACCGTCGTTTCGTCACTTCTTCATGCTTTCCTCTCTGCCACCACGTTTGTCTTCTGAATCTCACTGTGAACTTCTTAGTTCTTAAACCCTAATTTCAACGATCATCTCTCTCTCTCTCTCTGTGAACCGCCGCTTCCAATGCTTCGCCTATTGTGATCGCACTCTGCAGACCCGCTTCCACCGCTTCTGGGGCCGTCACACCCGGCTTCGCCTCCACGTATTGCCCGACAACCTATAGTTACACTTGTGTTTATATATATATATATATTTGTTTATGAAATTGTATTTATATATATATATATAGCTTCAAACGTATTGAACTATCCCGACATTTTAGCTCGTTAAAAGCTTTTTTCTTTGTAATTTATATGAATATAAAGGGAACGGAGACTTTCGTATTGTTAGTAGGAGAGAGAACAGATAGGACCTGACCACCGACGAACTCGGTGGTGACACGTGCCCCTGGGACATCGGTCTGAGCCACCGTGATGCCGCGGTCGGCGGCGACGTCGGTTGTGTCGCCGTGGTGAACAAAGCCGCTCCGCTCGTTGATGGCGGCGGCGTACTGCATAACTGCGGCGGTGCCGCCTTTCTGGGTATGTCCGAAGACACGTGTCTCCGCCGCCTGCATCATGTTAGCATCCCCCGGTGCCACAGGCTTGTCGGCCAGCTCGCCGGAGACATTGAAAACGTCGCCGTATTTGATCGGCTCTTGCCTTTCTGGCTGTGCTTGACTCATCTCTTTCTTTTTTTACCACTTTCTTCTCTCTTTCGCATCGAGTATGAAGTGTATTAAAGCTGGGCTTGATCGTAGACGAAAGTGTGAGATGGTGAGGTCTCGACACGTGGATAAGCATGATGACGTAACAAGGACATACGTGGCAGTCGTCCAGCTTCTGAGCTTCTTAAGGCCGAGCCAAGCAGCACACGTATCCCTTACCGCTTGTACGCGTGTGTATATAACTTCTCTGGAGTATATCAACATTACCTTGATATAAGACCAAATCGTTGTCGTGTCGTTTCTGCTAAAACGCCATTAGAGTACGAGTTCTAGAGTCATTAATTAGACTGTTCTGAAAGACTTCATGAACTGGTCGAAGAGATTTCTTGATCAGAAACATCAAAATCCCGACATATATTGGATCGGATGGGATTAGACATTGTACGGAGAAATAAAACATCAACAAGAGAACCCAACAGCAGAGGCTACTAGCCTCCTCCTTCCCATACCCTCCTCCGAAAGCTCCATCACCGTCCACTACCACTCTTCTTCTTCATCCTCCGGCGAATTCTCCGACGTCTTAGGCACCGTCACTATCAGCTCACCGTCATCGCAAACCACCGTCACGAGCTCAGGCCGAGTCGACTCAGGCAACCGGACTCGCCACACGTCGAGCTCAAGCTCGTCCAACAACGACGGACCCAGAGACGATCCGTTTAGTCTGACAACGATCTTCACCACACTTGGATGGATCTCCACCATGTGGGCCCTCACTCCTCCGCCGTCTCCGGCGAGGAAGCCATCAGTATCCGCCGAGAACTTGAAGCAGTCGGGCATCTCCTCCACCGACACGTCGGCATCGGACCTGAAGGGCAGCTCCAGTATTCGGTCGAAGATATGGGGCAAACGTTGAAGCTTCTTGACGGGTTCTCGGGTATTCGGGTCGCGAGCGTGATGGTGAATCAGGATATTGTTCCGCTTCATGGTCAAAGGATGAACTCTCATGCTTCAGGGTTAGATTCCTGGTCGGGATTCTCGATTGCGGGTTTGAAAAGAAGCGATTGGGTCAAAATTCATAGATGATACGAAAGATAATATGATAAAAGGTCATGGGATTTTGATGGGAACCAAAATCATAAAAGCTACGGACCTGGAATTTCTCCGGCAAGGACAACTTAGAGGCCTGGAAAAAAAGAACGGAAAATTTCCGGCGAAATCTCGAAATTCGTAAACTGGGTTAAGGAATTTGTATGCAGAAGATCGAATTCTTTAGGTGGGTTTCTGAATTTCAAGAAATTAAAAGACAGGAGAGTTGACAAAACATAGAAAAAGATGAGATCTTTGGAGAAGCGGAGAGAGAACAAACGAAGGCGAAGAAGAAAGCTGCTCCTTTTATGTATGGGTGCGACGCAAAGACGGAACCCTGATTCATGACGAGAATGGGAGACGAGATAAGGGAGGCTATGTGATTAAATTACCCAATTACCCCTGTGTGTGCTGCGCAATTACGTCCGGTGATTATCACTACAGAAATCATGGAGCGAAACCAATATTGTCCGTTCTTACTTGTAATGATGATTTTATTTCTGAAATAATTGGAACGTTACGAAATATAATTTTCATGATCGGAAAGTCGACTGATATTATGATATTTTGCATGCGTAAACATTATATTAAATGGCATGAAATTATGAATTTCCTGTGGTAGATAACGAGGACCTCATGGTCTCTTGATGATCATAATTACCTACTAATATTTTTTGCACATATTCTCTCTATTATTCAATCAATAATATCAGATTATATTCTGATAGATATATATATATAAAATACACAAATACAAAATCTCTCCCCTACGAGAGTGCCAGCCACCAAAAATTATAATTTTTTTTATAAAGCAAAAATTATAAATTATTAAATCATTATTTTTCATGCCTCATCATCACATTACAGTTCAAAAAGCCTATTTCATGTTCTTGTCCTCCAGCATCATCTCCTCCGACCTGCATTCTCTGCTACAAAAGGCTCTCTCTCCTCTTGAAAAAAAAAAAAAAAACACGACAGAATTTCATTAGTATTAAATTAATTTCTCGGTATAAGTATTTTTATACATGTTGGTACAAGAACGTGGTCAGATTTTTATTTGTGTACGGACTGAATTTAAAAAAAAAAACGTTAATATTTGGTTAGAAATTCTTGGACCGAACCTGTACATGAATATGTCTTCCCGAGGTCCAAGATTCTTCTTGCAGGTGCAACAGGTACTGAGGAAATGGTTGGGCGAACAACAACCCGGCCCGATTTCTCTTGTCGGGTCGGAGCTCCGGTAGGAAGCGGCGTCGGATATGCTCTCCACGATGAAGTTGTCGAAGATGTGGATCGTTCTCGGGTTGGGTCCGTGAGATGTCACGCACGTGTAGTCCTCTGATAACTCCATCTCGCTCGCCGAGAGAGAACCCGTGAAAACCCTGGCAGGATCATGACCCGACCCGGAAACCGGATTCGAACCGAGGTGAAGATTGTTCCTCGTTTTGATTCCGAAATCGGCCGGAGAACGTGAGGATTCGGGGATTTGGATACGGAGCTGCGACCCGAACAGGATCGTCCGAGACCCGGATCGGGTTAACCCGGGTCCGGTTTGTTTTTCGTCTAGGAGAGAGTCGACGATGGCGAGGCCGATGGGTTTCGGGTCGGGTTTGAGTCGGATCTCGGGCACGGAGAAGGGTTTGGGGTCGAGGGTCGAGGTAGGGCTCGCGACGGCGTCGTTTTCAGTTGTGAAGCTCTTAAAGCTGCTGAAAGCGGTGAAGAGCCTAGGAAACGACGTCGGTTTGTTCTGTTTCTGGCTAGGATCCGCCATTAAAGCTTGCTTGCTTCTCGATCTCTTCCTCAGCATGATTCACTACCACAAAAACAACGCATGTTCAGAGAAACCCATGACGCAAAAACGTAACTTTTATGACTTTTTTTTTGGTAATGCTCACGCGAAAAAGAAAAAAAAAACCTTTGGGGAAGGATCACAAAGGGCTTCTTCTTCAGTTGAGCTCAGAGACGAAGCAAGAAGAGGATCTCACTTTCATTGTTGCAAATTTTCTCTGTTGTTTCCATGACTGAGAAAATAAATCTCCCAAACAGAAAGGAAGAGGGAAAAAGCCAAGCAAACAATAAAGAGAGCAAAAGGAAAGAAACCGAAAACTCGAAAGCTTTTTTCTCTCCCGACTTTCTCGCACTTTCTCCCCAAATTTTCTCAGAGAAACAAACAAAAACCTTCTGCAGGAAGGAGAAAGAGGTCAAGAGCAAAAGTTTAACGGAAAAATAAAACCTCGCTTTTGCTTTTCTTTTTCTAATGCTTTAATGGGCTATGATTTCAAAAACCATTATTTCATTTTTATTGAATAATCTAAACATTAAAAGATCACCATGAATTTGCACATCACAAAGACATATACGCCCAGGTACCTGCGTGTATCGGTGTACGTATTTATAATATATTATATATGCATGCATGTATCTCTGTATATATAGAGAGGGGGCTCTTTGTTTGAAGAGGTGTAAGAAAAATCAGTGGGTGAAGAAATCCAGAAAACCACTAACTTCACCAGGGCATTAGCTTTAGCAGTGGAACTTCTCAGAATTCTGTCTCTTTTCAAAAAAAAAAAAAAAATTGTTGTTTTTTTCCTTCATTATTTAATTTGCTTTTTCATATGCGAGAGAGAACCACTAACGTCGTTTTCCACTGACTCTTCGTATATTTTTTTTTTCTCTTTTGAAAATGGTTTTGGAAGTTTTCTCTTTATGATTTACAAATCGCTTAAAAAGCATTGAATTAAATTGTATTTACGATTTTTATATTCATTGGTTTCTGATTTACTTTTATTGGAGTATTTTTTTTATTTTTTTTTGTTTTAGAGAAATACATTGATATGATTTTTACGTTAGGAAAAAAAAATGAAATTTACTTCACAAGTTTTCTGTGTAGAAATTGGATATGAGATATCTTAATTTATTTTTTAAAAAATAGCATATAAATAAAAAAAATTTCATAAAAATTTTATATAAATATCTTAACTTTTTAAAAATTCTAATAAATATCTAAATTTTTAAATTTTTTTAAATAAACACAGTTTATATATTTTTCAAATAAAAGTGATCGAAGGAATTTTAGATTTATTTGAATTTTTTTTTAGAAATTTGAATATTTATATAAGATTTTGAAAAAGTTGAGGTATTTATATAAAAATTTTATAATTTATGTTATTTAGAATTTTTATAAAAATTTAGATCCATTGCAGAAATTTAGAATCTATAATTACCTCTAAAACATTAAATCCGGTTAATAAATAGGTGGGCTCAAATCAATTAGCCTGGGGGCTTAAGTATTAAATATAGTAGGGTTCGTATTATGGGCCTTGAGAAAACAGGCTCTAGTTTTTCCCCTCCCAAAGGACCCGACCCGATTCATAACCGTCGTTTCGTCACTTCTTCATGCTTTCCTCTCTGCCACCACGTTTGTCTTCTGAATCTCACTGTGAACTTCTTAGTTCTTAAACCCTAATTTCAACGATCATCTCTCTCTCTCTCTCTGTGAAACGATGGATCCGTTGTCGGTGTTGCGTGAGTTCACGATCCGAGGAGAAGACCTAGACAGAATCGAGCGGGTCGGGGACGAATACAGGTTCGGATCGGAGTGCTCGTTCCCGTGCGCGGCGGAGACGGCGTACCGGTCGAAGTCCGGAAGCCTCTACACACTGGAAGCTCTGGTCCATTACGTGAAGAACCAGCACCTGAAGCACGGCGAGTACATGCAATCCACCGTCAAAAACGCCGTCCCGGCGGTCACTCTGCTGGACCGGAAACCCCTCCTCGATTACCTCACGGGAAGAGTTGCTTCCTCCGATTCCATCGACTTCCTCTTGCTCCAGCAGCAGAACGCGCAGAGCCAGAAGAAGAACGAGGAGTACCGACCCGATCAGGACAACTCCGCGTTTGTTTCCCGGGAAAACGCGATTGAGGACATGGAGGTTGAGGATTTCGGTAAGCCCGGCGAGGATGTTGATTATGTCATGCTCATTCGGTCGAACGAGCGACCATTGAAGAGCCGGGAGGCGATTCTGGAGTGCAAAAACAGGGATTTTTATAGTGTTTTGGTGAATTCGACAAAGAGGGAGGAGGAAAGGCAGAGGATTGAGTCGCAGCAGAGGAAAGACGGATTGGTGGCGAAGAGTAGGCTGATGGGTGCGGAGGAGAGGGGAGTTGTAGGCTTCGGCGGGAGTGGGGATAACTCTGGGTTTGATGCAAACCCTAAGCCGAAGCTTCATCTTAAATCTGGGAAGATTGGAGAAGGTGTGCCGATAATCCTGGTGCCGAGTGCTTTTCAGACATTGATCACCATATACAATGTGAAGGAGTTTCTTGAAGATGGGGTTTTCATACCCACTGATGTGAAGGCGAAGCAGATGAAGGGACCAAAGCCCGATTGTATTACGGTCCAGAAGAAGTTTAGTAGGGACAGGGAGAGGGTTGTGACTGCTTACGAGGTTAGGGACAAGCCCTCTGCTTTGAAGCAGGATGATTGGGACCGGGTCGTGGCTGTTTTTGTGTTGGGGAAGGAATGGCAGTTCAAGGACTGGCCTTTCAAGGACCATGTTGAGATATTTAACAAGGGTAAGTTAAAATGTTTCAATCAGTGTTAGCCTGAGTTTGAATTTTGGTTTTTAGGATAGTTTTGGGTTTCAGCTGGACCAAAGAGTTAGTGGAAAGCATCAGTTTGCTTTTTGGTCTGGTCTGGTTTTGGTTTATACTTTCAGCTGACAATTGTTTTCTTCTCTTGGCAGTTCTTGGCTTTTTCTTGCGATTTGAAGACGATAGTATTGAATCAGCAAAGACGGCGAAGCAGTGGAATGTAAAAATCATCTCGGTGAGAGTTTCTGCTCATTTTCATATGCTATAACTTTAAAAAGATATTGTGAGAAGGGTTTTACTGAACCTTAGGAACTCTTCTATGTCTTCTGAACTGATCAGATTAGCAAGAACAAACGGCATCAAGACAGGGCTGCTGCTTTGGAAGTATGGGAAAAACTGGAAGAATTTGTCCGGTCTCGGTCACGCTCCTAATATCTAACTCTCACAAGTAATATGAATCTCTTTATTTATAATGTTTGGTGACTGGTTGTTACTTGCTGCATAGAGACTGCATGTTCTGTAGGTTCCTTTCTCCTGCTTCCAATTCTTGAGTTGTTATCATACGAAGTTAATATCCTTTCTCTTAGTCCACCTCCTGTGCATTGTTTGCTATATTTTCTCTCGTGTCTGACCATATAACATCTCGAGTGCTGCCTTGTAAAATTTGAAGTTTGTCTTAACGGTATAATGTTCGGGTTTTCAATCAATCACAATCCACCTCAAATCAATAGCTAAACATAAAGAGTGCAAAAGAATGGTGAAAACCTATATAGCTTTGAGGGGAGAGTAGATGAGGTAAAATCAGCATGCTGAGAAGATTGCAGCTTAGGAAGCTGCAGACAGGAAGGCGAAAAGAGCGAATGAGAGCTTAATTGAGCTTCCATCAGATGATGGAGCAGCTTTTGAACCATTTCCTGGTCCATTTTCTGTTCCTGCATTAAGGTCGAAATCAATACCTTAAGACTTCAGATAGATCTTTTGGTATCCAGTGTTTTCTTTTCTTTACATCGGTTAAGTGGTGATCCTGCAGGAGAATCAGCCAGAGACCCACACGCCAAATCGACGGTAAGATTGTAAGAATCCAGTTTGAGAGAACCCCTTAGTCTCATACCAAGGACAAGGAGGACATCACTGCCAATACTGTAAGAACCATAAAACCCATCTCCATATTTCATGAGTTTCAGATGTCCAAATGGGTTTTGTTCTGTTTGGATTTGATGGATGTGGTGTCTGAGAATTGATGGTTTACCAGTGAGAATGGGGAATATGAACTCTTGCCTACTTTTCTACCATACTCATCTGTTCAAACGCGGTTCATTTCAGACACGAATACTCGTGGGAAAACTTTTATCACGTTTATTTTTTTGTTCGGTGGTCTTAATGTCGGTTTAGGTGACATTAAAAGAGTTTTCTTTTGGGAAGCTTATAAAAAGAGCATTGAATAATAATTTATTTGTCTTTCGAGCATAAGATTTCTATTTGAGTTTTATGATCTTTGAGTCCGTATTTTATAAATAGGTTCTATTACATTGTATGAAAATTATGAAAACAAGTTTTCATGAGTGTTTTTTAGGACTCGAAACCAAAGAGGAAAAAAAAACTCGTTACTCAAAAAGTCAAAACAGCAGATCCGCTTGCTTATTCATCATAAACACAGAAACGCGGTCACGTTTACATACTGCTTAGTTCACACTATTATACATTCTTCAGATTTTTCTCCCCATCATTTTATTCTGTTGCATTTTAGTACCCGGCATAGTTGAAGATCGACTGGAACGAGGGCTTCTGTTGTCTCCGCTGATGCGTTGGCACAAAGTAGGAGTAATCCTGGCTCGTGAAAACCCTCTCCGAAACCTCCTTGCCCACGCCAAAGGTAAGCCTCTTCTCGGCCGTGTCTAGTTTGCTCAATATGTTTCCTTGTCCTAACAACAAGGAGCCCGAAATCAAAACTAACTTACATTGAACTCGAAAACTAAATCTCGTAGAAAGTTCGATGCTTTACCTGCAAGGAACGTCCTCGAGCTGTTGTGAGCGTTGATCCCGAAACCCACTGCTGTGAAGTTTTGATCTTGAGTGATGATGGCGACCGGATGACTTGCCGGTATTACAAAGAGTTCACCTTTACAGACTTGGGACACGACCCGATGGATTTTGCCAGTCATCTCCTGTTCTCCCCATTGCTGTTCTTGTCCTTGTCCTCCCCATTGCGGTCCTTCTTGTTGTTGTTGTTGCCATTGTCCTGATCCGATGTGGGGTTTGGCCATCTCGAAGCGGGCACAACCGCTCTCCACAAACACGATGAACGTAGCCTTGGAGCTGAAGTGAGGCACAAATATCGACCCCTACACGTAAAAAACACGTGATTAACGGATTAGTTTGAATTGTTCAACCGTTGAAGCGTGTCTTGTCTAAAGAAAGGTCATATTTATTTGTACCTGAGTCATGTTGATGCAAGTGACCGAGATACCGAGGTCTCGAAGTTGTCTAAACCTCTCGGGATGCGCCTCGTAGAACCGACCAAACTCGTTCGAGTAGACGGGTTCTTGGCTATGGATATCGAAAGGGCTCCACAGTCTCCCTTGATGTTTGTGTTTTTCCGAACTGACATGTTTTCTTAGTTCCTTGATTTCCTCGGGCGAAATTGTCTGGATGGCCTTCCGTCCAGTCTGCGGTCCCCGTAGAAATCGCCCGAGCAACTCTTCCGA